CAGATCCCCCGGCCGCGCTGTTCTCAAGCCCGCCTGCCTCTGCTCACTCAAGCCGGCCTCTGCTCACTCACGGCTCACTCTAGGCCTCCGGTCGCCGCTCACTCAAGGCCGCGTGTGATGCTGTTTCGTTGTGAAAGCAAAACTACTTTGTCTGGCCTTCCAAAAGAGGACATGACTAAAAATCAGTGGTTAAGTTGTATTTACAACACTGTTCCAGAATAGTTTAACCCAATTATTCAGATGTGTGCAGAACATTTTATGGAGGACTGTTTCCTGATCCTGGTAGAGTAGACTACAATGCCGGCTGTTCTGACTCACAGACTGCAAGTACGTTTTTTATATTTAAATAATTTGCCACTGATGATTCAAACACGAGTTTTGAGCAGTGTAGAGTAGGGCTTGTTGTTTGTCATTTCTCTGATCACAAATGCAGACATGGTTTTATGTTTACGCGGCGCGGTGCAACGCAACGTGTAAAAAGACAGTATAAGTCATTATAATCCGTAATTATATCCCCACTGGATGCAACAAATGCCTCGTTTATAATGGGTTTTAATGTTTTTGTCTCGTCGCTCCGGCCGGACAGGGCATCACAGTATGGTGAGGGGCGTAACATTTCCGTCACACGCTTGAGGTATTCGGCCAATCACAAAGCACTGGATAGCTGGCCAGTCAGAGCACACCTCGCTTTTCAGACCGATGAGCTTTGTAAAAATCGACGCGTTTCAGAAAGGCGAGGCATAGAGGAGCAACAATAATGTACAGTATGTGGAAAATAATGTTTTTTTTAAACCTTAAACCGCATAAACACATTTCATTACACCAAATACATAAAATAATGTTCTTTATAGCAATATCATATGACCCCTTTAAATAGCAAAAATTCATGAAATGCAGCATCTTTTTTTTGTATAGGATTTTACAACCCAATAACTGTAGCAGGTATAATGAACAATCAGATACAGTAACAATACAGTAAAATGTCCATAAGTGCACAAAACATTTCTTGTTCATACAGAATTCTGGGCTCTCAAAGGACATTTGTGATTCAAAGAAATTTTGAAAAGCACAAATGGTACGAAGCAAGTACTGTAAGAAGTACATCCAAACACACGTCTTCTCCCAGAATTTCCCATTCACTGTTTACAAACATGATAAATTAGCAAGTATGAATGATTAAAGCAGGAAATTTCCCACCAAATGGGACCTGAAAGCTCAGAATGTAACTATATATAATTATATAATATAGCAGTGCATGATAAAAAACATTGGTTGATTGATTTCTTTAAGATGTTGTAAAAATAAAACTTTTGTCAGTTTTATGAAATCTTCAGTTCATGATTGTCTATGTTTTTAATCTGCTCAGTTTACTCAGTTTATTCTCTAGTATTGTCTTTTGTTAATATTCATTTATCATTTATATTCATTGTCATCTAAAATTCTCATTCTGAATTTATTTCCACCTCTACCTAATCCTGTATTTCTCTTTGATGTTTGGAAAATAAAAATAAATCTTTACCGTATGACAAAATCACTGGAGTCGATGTAGGACCCATAACGGGACTCCCGAAGATTCCCAGAATTACCGACTACAGAGCATGTTCGACAGCGATCTGGATGAGCATCAACATAGCGTTCCTCAGCAGGGAGCAGCTGGAATAATCTGTCCAACACTATGGTAAGATTGGATGGGCTCTTCTCAGCCTGTAGCCACTACACTCAATATACACAGAAATCACAATATAGAAATTAATAACAAAATCATTAATATTACATTACAAAAAAAAATAAAAATCTAGGAATAACTAAGTAGCCTACTGTATGTACTATTGATGTAACAGGGAGAGATATTATAACAGGATCACTTGGAATAAAAATAGATTTAGATGCCTGCTATGTTTTTCAAATGTTGTGCAGTTTTTAGATGTGGAGGAACATTGTCTCTGCATTACGTGGCAGAGAAGTGCAAAACAAATCACAATTCTGAAAGCAAAATAACAATTCAGAAAACACAACAACAATTCTGAAAAACATTATAACAAGTCAGAAAACACAACGACAAATCCGAAAACAAAATAACAAGTCAGAAAATGTGGATGCGCTGTCCTTGAAGGACGTTCAACTCGGTTTTGTTTATATTTTGCTTAGCCTATAATTTTAAATTAAAGATGTCGTATTTATTTATTTTTCTCTGCGACACTTTTCCTACTGTGTTAACAGAAAATGTCAAACTAATTTAGTATTTTGACAAGACGAACAAGACGTACAACCTACATTTTTATTCTTTTTCTCTCTGCGACACTTTTTCCCTATTGTGTTGTCAATGTTAAACGAATTTTTGTACAACATTTTTATTTTCTCTGACACTTTTTTCCTACTGTGTTGCATAAAATATTAAACACATTTTGTGTCTTAAGATAAGTCATATAAATTCAAGACTCTTGACAAGACGGATAAAATAACAATTTTGTGCAGACTACACTTTTATTTGTCAGCCTATCTCTCTTTCTTTCAGTAGCGGAAATTTAAATGCAAACGAGATCTAAATTTAGTGGGAACGGTCGGGTCGGGAAGAAAATTATTCTAAGCGGACGGATAAAAGCGATATTTGAAAACAAAATCAAAAGCTAAAGATGATGAAGAACATTCAGCGGCACCGTGGAGAGGAAAGGACGTGCGTCTGGTGAGTGCATATGAGTGCTTTTGCTCCGTTATTGGTAGAATCATTATTTTGAAACGTAAAAGCACAGCTAACAATCTGATAAACTATGTATTGAGAGTAAATTACAGTACAGGATGCGTTTCAGTAAATATATATGGATATTATTACAGTGCTGTGTTTATAAACAGCTATTTCTTTGTTTCACATTCTGAAGACCAGATAGCAGCCGCGAGCCCATGGCAGAAGCAGTTAGCGGCACAGCTCGCATCTCATCTTCAGGAGGCAGCAGGTGAATGCAGGTAAGATGCTGATGCACGTAGGATGCTGATGCAGAGGTGATGCAGGGACAGGGGACTAAAATTATGCACATAAATGGAATGATATAAAGCTGGAGGATGTGGATGCTGTTTTAGATTGTAATAAACCACATGGATTTTACAATTTATAGAGTCTTGTGTCTCCTGAAAGAAAAAAACTGATTGTATAAAACACAAAATTTGATATTTGGTATAATTCGCTTATGCCATTTTGTATATTACTACTTAGACAAACATAAAAATTAAACATAGTTCAGTCAATAATCAAGAAAATTGCTATGGCACATAATAAAATAGGATTCTGGGGGCAATATGCTTTATAAAACCTGTTTTTGCAAAGGAAACTCACAGACACTTTTACTCCCTTTGGTTATAATACAATAACTCCTGTTTAGAAGCTGTTATTTGAAAGATATTTTTTCTGGTACATCTTGGAACCTAGTGGAATCAAACAATATAAGTTGCAGGGAGCTGGAGCAAATAGAACCTGAATAACAGACTTTCAAAAAAAGAAAATCTGAAAAAAAAGAAAAGTGCCTATGTTTTTTTTTAGTGTTTCTTGTAATATTTAAAACATATATAATGTTATTTATGAAGAATTACAATCATATTTTGTAGTTCAAAGTGTTTTCTATACAACGACACAATTTTTTTCATTTCCTCCATTGTATGAGTGTAGAGTAAACACTTGAAATATGGTATGTCAAATTTAGCCGAAAATACACAAAAACGCCCCAGAGCTTAGTCAGAACAGCTTGTAAGAAATCCTTCCAAAATTTATAGAAAATACAGGATCTTTTGTTGCGGAATCACAAGGCAGTTATAATCAATAAAGGAAATATAAGTCAGAGACTCTAAATGAGCTCATTGATTCAAGCCAAATAATGACTATGTTAAAACATAATAACCACCACCTGATGACATTTGCTCTTGGCTTGTCTAGCTGTTACAAATTAATTACAGCAGTCAAACAAAATCTAACATAAATAATGTAAGGGTCAAGATCCCAACTAATACAAACACTGACCACTATAATGGTGACATAAAATTTTTTTATTTTCTCCTTTAGTGATTCTGTTTGTTAACATCAGGTGTCTTCAACAATGGTCAATCAACACTTAATTAATCAGCTAATTATCTTATTAACTTTCACTCTGCTTCAGTGTTACTTCAACACTGCTTCAGTGTTTATGAGTCCACACTCAGAGTGTTAAATTAACTGGTGATTTTGCTGTATAGGAACTACAACGTGTTACTTCCCGGGTTTGTGACATCACAAACCCAGACAAACCCCGCCCCCAGAAACATGCAACAAAGAGGGCAGGGCCATGTTGCGCTGCTTTAGAGAAGAGGAAGAAAACTAGAGGTGCATATAAAAATATAGTCATATATGAATTGCGATTCTGTCTTCTAACGATTCTAATGGATTCGCAAGTTTTAAATCAATGTTCAAAAGCAGCGGTTCTTAATCCTGTCCCTGGCAGATTTGGCAACACTGGTCCGTAAACTACGTTTCATATAACTCCTCCCCGAACTTCCCGCTGCCCTGTATCTTGGTCTCTCATTGGCTGTAGGTCATCGCCGATGTGTTTTTCAGTCAGAACTCATTTCACACAGCGTGATTGTGAATCGCCGACGGCTCCAGATATTTAGCATGCCAAATATTTCACGGGCGTCGGCGATTCCCTCAGATCGCGTCTTTGATAATTCACACTGCGTGATTTAAGGATGCGCTGATCCGATATTCATATCGGGTATCGGCTCCGATAGTGCCATTTTTCTCGGATCGGGTATCGGTCAGAGAGAGCACACTACGCATCAATTTCTCTTCCCTTTGTGCTTTGCAGTTTTTATTACGACTAAATGATGTCTAATATTAGCCAATGGCTAATCAATTCTCAGATTTTACTCGTCAGTGTGTGAGTTGGAGGCTGAGTATATGATTAGCACAGATATATGTTCACTCACAGAACACTCTGTCTGCGCACTTCAGAGTTTCACTCTCCGTCAAGCGATCTGATATTTTTCAGTTCATGTGAATGGATGCGCAGCGCACCTGTGTTTGTGTATTTGGCGTAATGTGTCTCTAGTGTGAAGCACACGACTCGCCGTCGCTTTCTCTCACTGTGAGCAAAGAGCAAGTGTCTTACATAACATGCGCTACATGTAAACTATATACGTTGTTGTATTTTCCTGTAAAAATAACAGAGTTCCTTTGGAAATCTTCAGCTTTTAAGAACTGCCGGGTTTTCCTGTAGTGGGCGGAGCTAATGCGCAAACGACAATCTCATTGGCTGGTGCTCACCTATTATCCTCCCTGTTTTGATTTCAGCGAATCAGTTCGAGCGAACGCGCACAACCTGATTAATATTCATGAATCCAGTAGCTCATTAATCCTTAGTGCGTTTTTATATTGGTCTTATTAGTAGAATTCGTATAATTAAATCAACTGAAATTAAATACATTAAATCCATCAAGATTTCAGCAGATGATAATTAAACAACTCCACAAACAGTATCACCAGCTTCATGCATTAAATTTCTTAAGAAACAGAAATCATAAAAGCACTATAGATTTAGATAAAATGCAGTGACAAACTCACACACATGAAAAAGCTTTATCATAACTTTTTTGCCAATAAAGTCTAACTGGTTAGTAATGCATGAAGCTGGTGATACTGTTTGTGGAGTTGTTTAATTATCATCTGCTGAAATCTTGATGGATTTAATGTATTTTATTTCAGTTGATTTCATCTAAGGCTGTGGCTGAAGTCAGGTGTAGTTCTTGTGTTTCTCTTTTCTTCAGTGGTTCTGCTTGTTAACAGCAGCTGTTCATCACTAATGCTCAATCAGCACTTAATTAATCACATAATTATCTCATTAACTTTAACACTGCTTCAGTGTTACTTTAACACTCTTTTAGAGTGGGACCATATATGCTCCAAGCAGTGTTAATTTAACACTCGGGAATTTACTGTGTACTTATATATAAATACATTCATGAATGTTTTTAATGAATGGATTTTATAATAATACAAATAGCAATGTGTAACATTTTACCATATTTAGTGCAACACTTTTATTTGTTCCTCACAAAATATTGGTTTTTCACTAAATGCTTGGATTTCTAAAATTATTGTGCACTGATTTGTAGGCATATATTTTTTCTAGGTATCGGAATCGGTATCGGAGGCAAAAAAGGCGGATCAGAGCATCCCTAGCGTGATTGTCACTCGCTTGAACGAGCACCGATTTGCCTCTGATTTCGGGCATTTGTTGGCGATTTCGCAAAACCTGTCAGCGAGTGAAAAATCGGGCTAAAATCGTGCAGTGTGAACTCAGCATAAGACGACACTTGAATGCTGCTGCCTGAACAAGAGACCTCCTTACTGAAGTGAAAGTGTTGGCTTGTGTCACTATCTCGCGAATGCGCCGGCGGATCTCCACCAAATTCGCGGGATCCCTTCAGCTTGAGGAGCCCTCTCGAACGCCACCCTCCGCGTGTCGGTAGCCCCCGGGATCTCTAGATCGGTCGGCGCCGGACCGCGAATTTAACCGCCCGTAACTCCCGAACACCGGGGGCTATCGACGCGGGGGTGGTCTCATTCGAAAGAGGGCCTCAAGACGTACACTCGGTTTGGCGTTCGAGAGGGTTCCTCGAGCTGAAGGGATCCCCCGAATTTGGTGCGGATTCGCCACGCCTTTATGGAGATATGGCTGTTCAAATTTTTCAGTGGTTTTCTATAGACTTAAGCTTTAAAGCGTTTCATCCAGGTTTTTATCTGTGTTACATGTTCTGTAAAAAAAAATTTCATATCGGCGGCATATTCGCCAATACCGATATATTGGCAACAGGCTCATTTTGGCCGATAATATCGGCTAAACTATATATCGGTCGGGCTCTAATATAGATGACGCAAATTTTTTACAATACAACTGGAGCACATGCCGCTGCGGTGAGGGGCAGGACGTTTAGATGCTTTTAGATGCGTTTAGATGTTTAGGCACTAGAGGCCATTTAGCCAATCACAACACACTGGACTAGCTAACCAATCAGAGCCCATCCCATATTTCTGAGGGAGGGGCTTCTTAAAATCAGGAAATGATCAGCGCGTTTATAGGTGAAGGGACAGAGCGGTGTAGAATAAAGGTAAATCATGTGAAAAATAAAGCATTTTTTTTAAACGAAGCATTAACACATGTTAGACTGCACCCCATAAACACAATCAAGCCGAGAACAAAAACAGTCAACCCCCCCTTTAATGCACATTGTTGCAACCATTATGTGCTTTCATGCCAATCCTGAATAAATGACTGCATGTTATTTTAAAGAAAAAAAAGGTTTCTCTTTGTAGTCTTTCAATAAAATACAACACCCCCTCTAAATATAATTTTTTGTTCACTGATTCCAAGTCCCCTACTTTCAACTTCTCCCTTGTAAAGACCTAGTTCTGTTCTGCTATAAGTAGTGCTATGTGACTAACCTGCCACCATCTGTATGTGTCGTCTGAGAGCATGCTGCTTTTCCTGGACATCAGTGGGTGGAAGGATTGGTTAAACCGTTCCATAAACCAGCTATCATCTTCATCCTCAAGGTGAGTGATACAGTGTCGACAGGAACATGTACTTCCTGACAGGCCCAGCACGGACCTGAAGAAGTACAGTGAGGGTTCTCTGAGTGTGTAACTGAACACAAACATTGAGAAGGTCATGGCACACAAAAGTCCTGTTAATGTGCGTATTTTCCTCTGGGTGAACAGAGACATTTTGAGTTTGAGTCTGTCTCTCACCCCAAAAGAAACCAAAGAAGAGTGAGGGATATATTATGCATTTTTTTGTCCTCCCACAAAAATCATTGAGAAAAATTTAAATATGCAATTATGTGATTCTTCACGCTCCAGAAGCTATCCACATTGTGAAGAAGAACATGTGAACCTTACAATGGTTTGGGATGAAAGACAATGAAACAAATCCCTGAAAAAATTGTCAAGGTAAAACCCAAAAAACATCACACAGTCCGGAAAAATTCCATAACATTCTGCGATCTTTTCTGGAGGATCTTTCTGGAAAAATCAAACATCTGAAGACTGATCAGGATCCAGGTCAATCCAGGACAGTGTGATCAGGATACTAGTCTTCTCTCTCATGATACTAATCTTGTCTGTGTGATCATCTGCCTAGAAAAGCAAACACAAGATAACTTAAGCCTAAATAGCAGCATACATTCAGATTTCCTAAAATTAAGTTTATTTATTTAATCTTCAACCTTGTATAACAAAACCAAAAACTCATGTTATCATTGTTATCACCTCAAATCAGAACATCCAAGCATCACCAATAACAACTTCACTTTGTGCTCTACCTTAAGGACTGTGAGCAACACACACACACAATGCAGTGTTTTGATCAGCAATATCTATACCAAAGTATTTCCTGTATTTCAGATCAAGTATGATGTCTAATCCTTATTACTGCCTTCCATTGAAATAGATCTGAAACAGAAATACATCTTACCCCAGTTTTCACTAGCAATAGCAACACGCAATAGTTGGTCAAGTCAAGTCACCATTATTTATATAGAGTTTTTAACAATACAGATTGTGTCAAAGCAGCTTTACACTATTAATTAGGAAAATAATGTGTAGTAATACAAAAGGACAACAGTTGGTCAACCAATGATTGAGGTAAAAGTTGGTATTACAAAACCAATTTACACTGATATTACTATAATTTAGTGGGCATTTATTCATATTATTTTTCTGTGTTCAATAGAAGAAATAAATGCATACAATTTTAGAATAGAAATAGGGTGAATAAATGATGACAGAAGTTGCTTTGTCCCTTGTATCTTGTGTCTAATGCAGCTCCTGGAGTAAAGCTGGTTGATTCTGTTTCTCTGCCTATTACACAAAACACATTGATTCAAATATTACAGGATCATAGTTGTGAGGTTTGACCAATAAATTGCTGAAAAACCAACGAGTGCACTGGGTGAGCAGCTTAATATAGTAAAACCAGTAGAATGTGTACTTTATTCTAAACAAAAGTGCTCAACACAGTGTGTTTTAGAGTTACAACTATGGAGTTAAATCTAACTCTTCTTTGAACCCTGGAAAAGCAGTTGCTTTACATTCAAAAAGCCTCTCTTTGTAGAAATCTTTGTAGTCTATACACCTTCCTAAAAGATCCAGTTACTGTTACCAAACAGATCATTTTCTCAAGTGGAAGGATTGGAATCGTGCAATTTTGTAGGCTTCATTGCAGCCAAGTAACTTCTCACAACTCTGTCTTTTAAAGTCTGAGCTTTTTTTTATAGCTCACAATTGGTTCTGGAATTCTGGAAAATTTCACATAGACTTTACTTTGGATACTTCTCCAGTTCTTATTGATTATGTTTTTAATATCATGTGAGGCAGCACTCTATTCAGTAACAAAATATGGTCTTGTGGAAATAATATTCTTATGTTTTACTTTATTCAAGGCTTTTTTTAATATACTCTCTGTTTAAATTGTCTTATCTTAATTGGGGTGAAACATTTAAAATTTGAATCAGATTTTACAACATCATATTTTACAGCATTGTTTTGTAAGACTTGGAAGTCATTGATTATTTGTCTTTTTTCTCCCTCTCCTTGTCTTTATTTTGATCTTGTGTTGTTCATTATTGATTTAAAATCATTATTTAAATGATAATTAATAAAAATCAATCAAAAAAGGAACTGTTATCTTTGCTCACTGATTGCAAGAGAAAATATCAGTATTTAAATGATAATTAATCAAATCAATCAAAAAAGGAACTGTTATCTTTGCTCACTGATTGCAAGAGAAAATATCAGTATTTAAATGATAATTAATCAAATCAATCAAAAAAGGAACTGTTATCTTTGCTCACTGATTGCAAGAGAAAATATGAATTTGTTAGGATAACAAATTCAAATTCCTCTATGATATAAATCTATGTATTGCATGTTTCTATAAATTTCCAATATTCATAAACATTTAAACAAACCACCTCCTGGGTGCCCTATGATTTCTTATAAGAACCATCCACACAATATATTATTTTTTTATTAAACCGTTGGTATCCACTCTTCCAGCTTTGTTCAGGACACAAAAGTTGTAATCAAAAATATCAAGGACATCTTTCTGGTAGGGCTGGAGTGGGGCCCATTTTACATAAATCTATTAGAACATGCCATGGAGTACAGAAACTCCTCTGTTAATAACTGGAATCTTTTCTGGGAACGTCCTTGTCATGAATCCGGTCCATGAACCTGCTGAGTATTGTTTAGCCTGTACCCCTTTCCGAGTCTCCGTGTTTTCCTTGTTTTGCCTTGCCTGTTTTTGCGGTTTCTGATCTTTGCCTGTTTTCCTGGATTTATCCCCTCTAGTCTCGCCCTTTTGATTCTGTTCGCCGATCGTTGACCTACGCTAGCCCTAGGATTATTCTTGTGTCTTGCCCGCCATATACCTGTTTGCCATTGTTCGACCCTGCCTGTGTTTCTGACCTCTTCTGCTTTAATAAAAGCTTGCACATGGATCCGCACATCTCATGTCTTGTCAGCCCCGTTACAGAATACTCGTCCACACAAGGATCCAGCAGCTGTTCAAGTGTACATTGGCCAGGTATGGACACGGCAAGAATTTTATTAGCCCTTAAACAGGGTCCACGATCATTGGAGAACCATATTCGAGAGTTTTTAGCCATCGCTCACTATTCTGATTTACCAGACTGTGTACTGATAGAGTTTTTCTGCGATGGCATAAATCAACCTCTTAGGGCTAAGCTTAGACGCGAGGGTCCACGTTCATCACTCGCTCAGTTTATGGATTATGCTTTGTTGACTGTCGGATCGTTGTTTACTGTGGGTGTCACGGAGGAAGAATGCACAGTGTCTGTGACTGAAATGGCGGCTGTACCAGAGCACGCTCACAAAATGGCGGCGACAGCGGAGCCTGATCGCAAAATGGCGGACACAACAGCGCCCC